CTCACGATCAGCAAATCAACACCGAAGTAACAACGAAACCTCGCTCGACTCCACCAAACAGTGGAAGCGGACTCCGTGGGTGAAGATCGCCGAGGAGAAACCCAGCCGTCCTTCATATAACCGAAGACGGAAAAAAAAGCTCTAAGGGCTGCGAAACCCTTAATTCAGATTTTTTTAAATTGTCATTCTCTCCTTATTTAATTAATTTACTAGATGAATTACTTGTGCGATTAAAGGAAATGTAGATCCTGAAAAATTGCAAATAAAGCTAAAATAAAATAATGATAATACTTCGAATTTAAGAATAAATTCTCCATGAAAATGAAATAAAAACGCCAGTACGATGTGAAGTGTTTCAGTGTTTCTTCGTTGATCTTCAAGAAGTTTTATAAAACAGAGCAATAAAATCTTTTGGTTGGATAAAAAAGTATCATAAATTGATAAATGTTGAGAAACTTTTTCATGCATAGATCAACACGCATTTCATCATCATATATAGGTATCTTCAAACTACCTTTAGTATACAAGAATACTTAAACGCTGTTTTTAAATGACTGAATTCCAAAGTATATTAACATATGAATATGCTCCCCATTTTAAAAATGTGTATATGTACATATATACCTGAAAAACAATCCCAGAAAGGTCAAGAAAAATATGTTGCAGGTCTTCCACAAATGTGCTATTAAGTATTACTATTAAAATGTAATAATGATACGACTTTATTTAAATATTTTTTGGTCGTGTGTACTAAAAGTAAATTGTCATATGTGTAACAAGCATAATAATTTATAATTAAAGTTCGTCTGGTGAAAAGCAGAGATAGGTAGTAAGTATGATTAGGAATAAGCAGAAAAAGGTAAACGTTAATAGAGTTTCACAGCCTACACATTGCGAAAAACTTCCTTATAAACTATATTGGTGGTATGGTCAGTTGGATGACCATCTTCATCGCATATGATTATCTTCATACCTTTAGGATTTGTTACCATTGACACCGCAACATACAACTGACCATGCGTGAAGACTGACTTTTTCAATAAAAGTCCAACATTGGACAAAGATTGTCCTGACTCTTATTTATAGTCATCGCATAAGAGGTCATTACTGGAAGTTGTCTTCTTTGAAACTTGAACGGGATTCTCGAATCCAAAGGGCTTAAGCTTAACCTCAGAATTACAACTTCATGCCCGACATATTTTCCGCCCATAATTTTTGCCCCTAAGATGTGATTTCCAAGTCAAGTAACAATAAACCTTGTCCCATTGCAAAGTCTCATCGAAGGATCAATATTCCTTAAAAGCATTATCGCAGTACCAACCTTTAGGGTTAACTCATGGTTTGGAACTCCGGATGCACGTATTTTGTTGAGAAATTCCGGAGTATGCAAATCAGCCAGAAAATCAGCATTCCAGTCTGACTTGCAAATGCTATCTGAACTTATTATGTCTTTGACTCTTCATTAACATTCAAAAGTCATATATTATAGTATATATATAATTATTACAATCTTAGTAATAATATTATAACCATTCATATTTTTTTTAATATTATTATAGTTTTAACAAAGAATCTCAGATCTGTTTTTCTTGTATTTTTACTTCATCTAAATGCTCTTTTTGTATCAGCTATCTATGAAGGCTTAGTGAGTTAGTGATATTGAAAAATCTCAGACCTAAGTGTCTTGTGTCTTATAATTGCATGTCATTTGGCTGATCTTATTAAAACCTAGCCGAAATAAGATCTATACGGTTTGTAAACAAACTATCGTAGTTATAGATCTACAAAGGCTAAGTCATATTCCAGAATCATAGATCTAAACGATTTGTAAATACAGTATTCCTTTTGAATGATTCAGTTAAGCTGAGTGATATCCCATTCCAGATTTTTCACCTTTTTTTTCGAAATACACTTTTTGACTATTTCTGATTATCTGGGAAAGTGACATTCAACTTATTGTTTCATTTTTTAGTTACATTTCAGGACAACATATATCTGTAATACAGAATATTTGTCCATGCCTTTTCTTCCGTCCACATATATCTGTATTCTCAGTATTGATTCCTCAAAGTTTATTCTCAGTATTGATTCCTCAAAGTTTATTCCAGTTTCATCCATTCTCAGCTATACATTTAAAGATCAGCAATTTTACTATTCCTCAATGTTTTTATTATCAAAATACACTTTTTGAGTATTACAGATAATCTGGGAAAGGGACTTTCAACTTATTGTTTAATTTTTTACTTAGATTTTTGTACAACATACATCTGCAATACAGAATATTTCTGTATGAATTTTCTTCAGTTAAGCATGTATCACCCTAAATGATTTTAAAATTAAACCTATCATTAATATATGGTAATCAATTTTGAATTAGATGCAAAGTGACATTTAAGCATAATAATCTATCTTTGTTGATCATGTCATCAACACATCTTTCATTGTTGATTGTGGTGCTTTTAGTAATCCTCTTCATCAAAGAGCTGTTATTAAACATTCAAAAAATATTTTGTTAACTCCAAGTATTAGAACACCTGAATGGTTGTATAAGAAAATGTGGCCTCTATAATGTTAACTTTCGAATTAGTTTTATTAAAAAAAATGTTTCATTCATTTGACTACTCTCCTTTCAAAAATTCTGGAAAATTGGTTAAGGTGGTTACTGATTGTTATGGCCTATCCTATAGGACTGTCGGATTCCCTGCCAGCCACAATAGTGGACTTCGGAATTGCGTGGTCCAGCAGTCCGATGGCCTGAATATTGATAACCCCTGATTTAGTGATATCTGCATCTCATGTAATGACTATGTAGTTATGAAATGCATGTGTCATCTCCATCTGTAAAATATATGTCAAACATGCCATCATAGTAATTTCTGGAAATATTTTGATATACTTCACTTTAGAACATGTAGTTAAGCAAACATAAATGATTATAGAATCCTGCACAAAACATGTGTCTTCAAAAAACACATGTGAACATTGCATTACATTACATTTCATTCATTACATTGCATTCCAAACATGGCTTACCATTTCATCATATGATACAGGCCACATATCCAAAACACAAAACCTTTTACATCTTTTACATATAAAAAAACCATAGGCATAATTCACTGATATGAATGCAATAGTGTATTCATCCCATGTTAAGTCAACCAAATTAAACCTCATCCCACACAGGTGTTTTCATTGAAGTACTTCTAGTTCAGTGTTATAGTCGGACCTGACCTTCTAGGTATTATAAGATCAGCATCTAACCACTCTTGACATTCCGTGCATAAGAAATTCCCAGTATATCTTTTCTTGTTTACAGGCCTCATGAAGTAAAAGTGACTAAAATTACCTTGTTGCATGTGGACCACATCCCTGTTGAAGTAAAACCGGCCATTGCTCAGAAGAAAATGTAATTTTACGTATGGATTTGCTTGCTTGTGGTGTGTTTTGACCTCCCACAGCCTGGGTATTTATAGGAGATGGTGGTTGCATAAGGTGGATTAATTGGTTATTAACCAATGGTTAAATATACCCACTCAATCTTTGCATTTAGATATTGTAGTACATTGCATTTATTGATTGTGAGGCTCAAGAACTTATTTTGTAACTCCATTTCGAACAACATCAATGAGAACTGTGCATTGGGCTGATCTGTAACATAATCAACTATCAAGTACTATCAAGTGCAATGCATTTAGATATTGTAGTACATTGCATTTATTGATTGTGTGGCTCAAGAATTGATTTTGTGGCTCCATTTCGAATAGCAGCAAAGAGAACCGTGCATTGGGCTGATCTGTATGAACATAATCAACTATCAAGTACAATGCATTAATTGTTTTTGAGGCTCAAGGCTGCTTTCAGATTTTCATTATGATACATTAGTTAAAAAGGACAACTTAAATTGTTTTTGGGATAAGGGTCAGATAGGGCCTCGAACTCGAAAAAAAATGTCAAATAAGGTCATATTTAGGATGCTCTGTCCGGCCGACGCCATTTGGGGTGGTTCCCGATGGAATTTTTTGATGAAATTTTTTGAGCATCTTCCTCATTAAGTCTAGTTTACTCATACCAAATTTCACCTAAAAATGCAACCGGGAAGGTAGTCAAATGATTTTCCGAAATGTACGGGGTTGTTTAACTTCACAATTATCTTCAAAAAATCATTTGACTACCTTCCCGGTTGAATTTTTAGCTGAAATTTGGTATGGGTAAAATAGACTTAATGAGGAAGATGCTCAAAAAAATTCATCAAAAAATGGCATCTGGAACCGCCCCAAATGGCGTCGGCCGGACAGAACATCCTAAATATGACCTTATTTGACATTTTTTTTCGAGTTCGAGGCCCTATCTGACCCTTATCCCATTGTTTTTTAATAAAACAAAGCATTCTGCATTAATTGATCTGCATTGATCCAAGGAACAGAAACAGTACTCCCACGTTTCACTTTTACGGTTTTACCCATATGCGCACCCAGAAATGGGCCTCGATGCTAACCCGCCTGTAGACCCATTCTTTAACCCATGGACAACCCAACCCGACCCAGTGCAAAACTGGAAACCCAACCCGAACTCATTGATGCATGTGATGTTTTTGAGCGGGAACACTGTTCATTTTTTCTTTTGGCTTTGTATAATAGAAGATTAGAAACCATGCTCCCAACTTGACTTAATGCATGACCTCCTAAAGACTCATCCGTCCTATTTCTAAATTCTCTGGTCGGTTATTTTCTTATAATCAAAACATGCATTTTTCTTGAAGAATATTAAAATAACATCTGCTAATGTTGGAAGAGAGTAAATGAAAAGAAGGCTCTTGAAACTAAAATCTCGATAAAGTTAACTTTTTATACTATGTATTATATACCCATTTATTACCCATTCAAAAACTTTTTATACCCATTTATTATCGACATATTCAAAACCTAGACTAGAACTCGAATTAAATCGCGAGGTTATGATAAATATTTATTATATGCAATCAGAAATTAGAAGAGAAATAATGTAACTGCATGGTGTATGTGACTTAAATCACTGAGACTAAAGAAATATATGTCAATAGCCTAAATGATTTGAGCTCTTTTATCAATAGTTGTTTCATGTTTCCACTTTTTTTCCATAAGTACACAACACAAGAGAACACTTCCATTCACCTACACACACAAAGTATACAAGAAATGAAACATAAAATCCCCTCTAGTCTTTTCTCCTGCAGCAGGTTGTTCCATGTTTAATCTAAAAGAGACTGGAATCCAACTCTGCCCACTCTATGACTGGGGGTTAAAACCACAAGCTGCAAACCTATCAATCTACTAGTCATAACATATGCCCTTATCGATTACAAAATTACGGATAGATAGACTAGGGAAAGGGGATCTAAGAGGTGGAGAAACTGGCAATGAACCAGTGAAGGGGAAAACCGAAGCAAATAGTCAGGCACGTATTCCTTTACCATTGCAGCAGCAATATATTCCTTCAAATGATCCATTTGGTGGCACCTTTGCTCCATTTACAGCTCGCTTTATAGGCAAGTTCCCGTTGTTGCTTATATGCCCATTTGAAACATCCCTCTTTAGATGAGCTTCTAGTTGTCCACATGCTGCAGCTATGAGTCCTGTTTCCAACTCAAACTGGTAAGAAATTGGAAATGTAAACTCAAAACACAGAAGGTAAGATAGATACCTAGAAAGAGAGGTGAAGGTTTTCCAGGTCTTGATTTGAACTCAGGATGAAATTGAACACCAACAAAATATGGATGTTCAAGCAGCTCTACAATCTGCCAAAAAAAAAAAGATAAGCAAGTGCCAACCTCAAACTGCCTGAAATGCAAAACATAGCAAGATTCTTGTGCCCAATTTCATTTGGAATCCATATGACCATATTGAGAAAATTATGCGTGAAAGAAACTCAAATTGAACCAACTAATATATTGGACTCGATCTTTTAGTATGATTTCATAAGTGCCTTATAACCTAGTTGAGCAACCTTAACTCAATTCTAAAGTTTAATAGGATATCAGATCAGTTCTGGCCTACTTTCAACAGCCCCATAATGTCACAATGACCCGTTCTTCAACCTGCAGTGCAGTAAGAGGCCTAAGTGCCCAAACCGGAATAGACAAATATGGAGTACTACTTATCAGTCCAAGTATAGATTCATAATGCCCTGATTGTCCAGTTCATGGGAGTGTTTGAGTTCTATACTCGACAAATAAAAGGAAAATGATGGATCAGTGATAAGACCGTGGACTGAACTAGTTCTATACTCTATCACATCAAATCTTTTTGTGCTAAATTAGTCCAAGTGACTTAGGGCACAATTGAGCAACCACAATCCGGTCCTGGATGCTATAAATATATCTTTGTGTGTATAAATAATATGTATACCTCCATGCGTTGACCACTTTCATCTTTGCCTGTAAAACATAGTCCGGCTGTTTGAAGCTGTTCTACCATTTCAGGGTTTACCTGAAAACAAAGAACAATTTCCTTAGTAAAAATAATACTACAGATGTTGCTATAGTGGATTTGTAACTCATATTGTTATAATAACTGGTGGATTTGTATTCCTGTCTTTTCAACTTTCAAGGTTGCTATAGTTGAACAAAATCTGGTTTTAATTGAACAGAACACAGATGTACCTCATATCTGTGACGATGTCTCTCATCAATAAATTTCAAGTTTCCATACCTGCAACAACATATTAATGTAATGTTGAGTTGAAAATGAACAAACATGATTAGTTTATGAAAGGGATACTATGGGAGGTCACAGCATCACTAAATAGTACATGTTAGATTAGTCAAGTTCCGAAAAGTGGCTTGAAAAGAGAAAATGACCAAAGAATCATGCAAATTGTGAAGAGTACACAACAAGTACACTTATAGTTAGGGAATACAGTTTAGATAACAGACATTACATATAAGAAGCTACTCATATCATGTAAGGTTGAACATAGAAAAATAGACTTACAATTTGCTAGATTTGCAGTCTTCCACCTGAAAAAACGTCCTCCTAGATCCTAAACGCATAGTTCCTCCCATGTGAGTTTTTGAACCCTGATAATGCAGTTGAAAAAAACTGAGTCCCAGAACACCTCCATATTACAATAACTACCACTGTGACAAATAATAACCTCTGGCATGAAGATGACATATGGATTGTTTGTACTGGGGTCGAATTCTGTACTGTTTGCGTCTTTGAAGCCAAGAACAGATCGAGCAAACTCAATCACTGCGATCTGCATTCCTAGACATATTCCAAGGTAGGGAATCCTATTTTCTCGAGCATACTTAGCGGCAAGTATTTTTCCCTCCACACCTCTGTCACCAAATCCCCCTGGAACAAGTACCGCATCTGCTCCCTGTGAAAAAAGAGAAAGAATAAAGATCATTTTCAGGCAGACTTACTTATAATGCATGATTAGGGAAACATGTATAACCAAACACACCTTCAGTAACTTCCAGGCATTCATATAATTATCAGGATTCTGCAATACATACAAAATGGATGGACATGATAGAATAGTATTTCATTAAAAGAACATAGATGTAAGATGGGAAATGAAATAGACATGTCATCACTCATCAGAACATACCTCTTTTTTGGTCACCTGTTCAAGATCTCCAGCTGGGACCCAATCTATAAAAAGTTTCCTGTGGCAGGCAACAGAAGCATGCAAAAGAGCCTGCAACAAATTGGAATTTTTTAGATATGGATAGGAGAGTAAGAAAATATATTCCATCTGTTTTTATTATCTGTTTACATTGAGTCATTGGCCAAGTCATTAGGGTGAATTGAATACGTAGTATATAAAAAAGGCTAATTTGGGGGAAATGCTTAATGTGCATTGAATTTAAAAAAAAATAACATATAAGAATTGGTCAGCATTGACAGATAAATAGGTTTCATCTACTCAAAGATGGAACGCCTTATTACCGTTCAAGCTTTCATTTTGAGAGGGAGAAAAACTACCTTGATAACAGAGAGATAAGAATCAGACAAGCCAGTGTATTTTCCAACCATAGCAACCCTGACCTGTTAGCAAGATTGCAGAGTGTATAAATGAGGAAGAAAACAATGTCCATGCCCTTTAAGAACAAATAGCTTTCTGAAACATACTGGTTGGTGTAGTGTGTCACAGAGTTTAGACCTAGATGTCCAGTCCTTCAAGTCAGGCTCCTTAGTTACACTGAAGATTTACAGGAAGAAAGCACCAGTCAGTAGTGACTATTCATAAATCAAGACAGGTCCTAACTAAAAACAGACAAAGACTGGACAAACCCTTTAAGGTTTAGTACTTTCAACATTGCCTCATGTGCCTTCTGGTCCTAAAACAAGAAAAGATAACAATATATGAGTGTTTGATGAGACAAAAGTCACAAAACATAAAGTAAATGTTAGATATAAATGCTATCTTCCAGAATACTTACTCTTAGAAGCAATGGAATATGCCAGATGTTCGAGACATCATACAGATTAATAATGTTTTCACCCTGGTATTGAAAAGAAGAACCAAACCTCAAACACATCATAACCTCTTGTAATGTAGTTCAAATACATATTCAGTTGTTATTCACAATTCACAAACAGCACTTATGTATGTTAAATATGCTACTCATCATACCGGAACATGGCAAAATCGGGAAAGCTTCTCCTTCACACTCTCATCAAGTTCCTATTAAAACAGAAAACCAACATAAACAACTGATCATGATTCATTAATATATCAGCCAACAAAATATGCATGCGTGATATAAAAGAATAACAATATTAATTACTATGTATATATGTGATATTCCTAATAATTATAGTATTCCTAAATCCTAATATGACTAGCATAACAGCATATGATAGACACAAAGGTACACACAGAAGCAAAAGCAAACATGAAGAGAAAGAGAAAGAGACCTTTGTGCTCCGGCATGCTAAAATATTTGGTGTTAATCCCTGGCTTCTCAATCCTCTAACACTGTGTTGAGTTGGTTTTGTTTTCTGAAGATGTGAATACAAAGATTAAGCATCAGCTGTTAAGAAAAAGGTGGACTAGTAAAGGAAATCATAAGCATTGTTATGACCATGAAATATGATCATATTACCTGCTCACCAACCACATTTAGCACTGGCACTAGACTGACATGAATCAAACAAAAGTTCCCAGCACCTAAGAGGAACAAGAATGGGTAAATTTGTAAAATGCTAAAGCAGCTAAACTAGAAGCTTATATTTAATCCTTTGGTATCCATGAGGATAGTCTTACCAACACGATATGAGAATTGTCCTAAAGCCTCAATGAAGGGCATTGATTCAATATCCCCTGCATAAGGAGAGGAAGATAGTTCTTCATCAAACAAGAAATAAAATGGAATTATCCTCGTAAACAATGTGAAGGAATATTGTTAACATACCTATGGTTCCCCCTAATTCTATTACACAAACATCAGCTGGGCCCTCTTTACCATCAACAGGAATGGCTGCTACACGTTCAATCCATTCTTGAATGGCATCCGTAATGTGAGGAACGACCTAAAGAACCGAAATCATACATGGAAATAAGTAACAAAAGATTATGATTAAGCAAGAAAGCATGCATAGAGTATATGAATAACCAAACTAAAAGATTGAATCTAATCTATTGATCAATTCAACCCAAAGTCATGTTAACCCGTGAATTTCACATTAATTGTCCATTGTGAGACTCCAAAATAATATGTGTATTTAAATGTAAACTTACCTGAACAGTAGTTCCCAAATAATCTCCTCTTCTCTCCTTATCAATAACAGACTGCAAAACCAATAACAGCTTGTCATAATACTGCTATCCGCATTGCATAATTATAATTTATATGATAAGCACTTTAAGGGCGTTTGTTAGGATTTAGGGTCCGTTTGTTATGATGTAATGTAAACATTTTGCGTGTGAAGTATGCGAAAGTAAACACTTTACACCGTTTGTTTTAACTATTTAATATAAACTTTAGGGAACTTTTTAAAACACATTTTACACTGTACCACGTAAAATATTTTACATGGGGGAGGGTGGTAAACTGGTTTACATCTATTTATCTGAGATTCCGAGCGAGAATAAATATATACGGAACCGATTAAGACATCAAACCAATTCATCAAATCTCTTCTCCATCTGCTCTGCGCTCCACTTTCTCAAGAGGTTTATGCTTCAATTCATATTAACTACTACGTATTTCACATTAGTTTCTTACGTGTGTACGAAGCAAAAATTTGTACTAGTAATATATATTGTCATCTTATGTGTTAGTTTGAAATAGTTAGAAAGAAAAAAAATCAAATCCCCTGCAGCTAGAGAACGGCAACATGTTTTCCCGAGCAAACATGGTAAAGAGTTTGTGTGTAATTTAAAAATAGATTATACACGTAAGCAAACGATGTATCTTTATTTTACATGCAAACCATTTTACTAGCCTAAACTTTACATGCAATCATTTCGCATGCAAAGTTTTAATGTGCAAACTACCAAACGGGCCCTTAAAGTGATTACTTTGCAATTGCATGTGAAGTGTAAGAACGTAAAAGGTTTACACTGTTTGGCTTAATTATTTAATGTAAACTGCATGACATTTTTTTAAAACATTTTGCACTCTACTATGTAAGTTATTTTACATGGGGGAGAGTAGTAAAATACTTTACATACTTTTATGAAGCACTGCAACTCCATTGCATGCAGTTTAAAAATAATTAGCACATCTAGTCAAACAATGTAATCTATTTCACATACAAAGTGATTTCTTTCCTAAACTTTACATGCAATCATTTCGTGTGCAAAGAACTAAAGAATACAAAAAAGAAGTAAAACAACAAAAGTTTCACAGATATTGAAAGAGGTTAATCACATACCTGGTAAATTTTCCCAGTGGTTATATTGTTGTCACGTGTCAACTTAATATCTAGGAAACGCTCATAGTTCCCTAGATCTAGGTCCACCTAAAAACAAAAAGGTGAAGTGTTTTAAATGATTTGTTGACATCATGAGAGAATACAAATTGTTGACGTCCCCGAAGATACTTTTTGTAAATAAAAATATTTTTAAAAAAAGCATAGAGCACTGACGTATAAGTGAGTATCCAAAGAGTTGACAATGAAGGGCTTAGAAAAAGATTCAAGGAATGCTATAAATTTGAGACAGAAATGCCCTTATTTAAAGATGTGTATGTCAGCATTCTTTATAAGGTTGAATAGTGATCTTGACATTCCCTAAATCATTTTTACCCATATCTTATCCTTGCTCATAAACAAAACTTGAGATGAAGACAAAAAGTGTATACTACAAACTCAGATATATTTCTGAACCTTAATCCACAATAGTTGTTGTACCAGTTATGCCCTCCCAATAGGTGGTTATAATGGAAATTTTCTCTGGGTAAGTTGGCAACAGAACAGTGTCCTTCCTTTCAGTTTTTTTTCGATTTTAAAGGGAATGCACTAAGTTAATCCAACTATAAGCCTATTAGGCCTATAATATAAGGCTCTGTTTGTTTTAAGACAATATTTTCGTGAAAATGTTCCCAAGTTCTCATTTTTAGCACCAGAGATCATATATATTTCATGCAACTACTTATTTTGCAATGACCAAAACGAAATAAAGTTCAGCATAAATTTAATCCCAGTCAAAATTTTCGTCCATGAAAAGTTGTTGATATTTGAATTGAAAGAGAAAAGGACAAAAAGTCTCTTCTCACCTCGCCACCATCATCCAAGACAAATACTTCTCCGTGCTCAAAGGGAGACATAGTTCCAGCATCAGTATTCAAGTAAGGATCTGAAAGCCAGGTTGAGAAGAAAATGATGAAAAGCTTTCTAAGTAAAAATATCATTTGCAGAAATATAAGCTATCATACTGTTTAAGTTTGTCCACAAACCTAATCCGTTTATTTGTTGGATGGTCATTAATTTTCAATTTACAGGTTTATCCCTTCTTAACGACAACAATAAAATCAAATTGTACTCCTGTATAGGAAATTTTAAACTTTTACAGCTAAGCATAAGAGTAAAACGGAAAGTCATTCATAAAATTAATTAATCCAACTAACTAAGCATAGACAGACAATCAGCTGAACATAAGGAAAGGAGTAAACTTTTGCTGAGATTTTGAAAAGCAATTAGAAAGAGAAGAAGGGGGTAGAAACTGTAGCCATGCCGAAAGGGAGACCCTATAATCTAAAAATAAAATATAAGAGACCAAAATTATTTCATCCATAGAAGAACAACAAAAAGGGGAGGAATTTAAATTAGTACTATACAAAAGAAAATACAGAAAGAAAGAAAGAAAAAGTGTCTAGTTTGGGAAATCTAAGTGTTTTTATATAAATAAAATCAGACATAGTATAATACAAAGGAAAGTTTTAAACGGCTGGATTTGTTTGAAATGCCTAGCAACAAAAAAAAAAGAAGGAAGAAAACTTGAAGCCTGTGCAATTTTAAATACCACTTAGCTAAATCCCACTTACAAGCATCTTAGCTAACAATAGGCAATCTAAATCCCACTAATTACCAGTAATCTAAGGATGGAAAATGACACAGTACACATGAACAGGGAGAGAAAGAGAGAAAGAGACCAATTTTAATGGAAGTAACACGAAGTCCGCAAGCCTTAAGGATGAGGCCAATACTGCTGGCAGTGACCCCTTTTCCGAGGCCGCTCACAACTCCTCCGGTAACTAAGACGTATTTCATCCCTGGATCCTCTTTCTCTTAACGCTTTTCCAATAAAGATAGCACCTTTCTTCCTGCAAAGCACCGAGAACCAATAATGAGCATGAATTTCAGTTTTCACTTCGTTTCTGTGTATAACCCATGAATGGAAACAGTGATGTGCATTATCTCGTGAAAAATGAAGTGGAAGAAATTCGCACCAACAATGGCTGTCACTGGAGCTCTGCACAGACCCAGCCCTTGATCCTCTAAGCTATTCAAGCTTCAAGTAGATGCAGTACAGAGAAGTAAGGAGAGGGAAGCTCGAAGGAGATAGATGGTTATTAAACGGGGAATGGAGATAGATGGTTACGTGATGGAGCTCGAAGGAGATGAGGAATTTTGGGTTCAGGGTTGGCGGCTTTATATAAAACTGAAACAGTGAAACTGTGGGGGTCCTAGTTGATTTCGATATTTGAACATTCAGTAGCCAAACGAGTCGTTAGTCGGTACATCTTTTTCTTTCTTCTTTTTTTCCGTTTCAAAAGTGTAATATCCTATCCACAGACCAAACAAAAGCGTATATCGTGCCTCGCCGAATTTACAGAACAAATCGTACATGAATAACCGTCATTATTTTTTGGTTTTGACATAATTTCTCATGGATTGTTTTCCGAACATATCAAACTAAACTTAAATATATTAGATTAGACCAAACCAACTAGGCTTAAGTAGAATAGATTTGATCAGACTTCGGTAGTTATAAAATACTCAAATATCATACATTTACCTATACCAGCCCAACCCAATTCAGACAGACCAAATCAGATCAAACTAAAATAGAAGAAACTAGAGCAGACCGGACTAGCAAATTTCAGTCCAAGTAAAAACATCCTCATTCCTAACTACTCTATACACATCAGATATTTGTGAGACTATAATTGGATGAATCTGTTGGAATTAGTAAATCATGATTGAAATGAGTTAATTTGTTGAATTATGTATTTGACATGTATTTAACATTAATCAAACTACCTTCATCCCAATGTGATGGTCTCATTTCCAATTCACTTAGTCAACACAAATCACTCAATCTCTTACTTTATATATTAAATTTTTATCAAATTTAATTTTTTCTTTTGCGACTTTATAAACTTTATTTGCTACAAATAATTTGTGTGCGGATAAATGATATATTTGTTTTATCATTGGTCAAACATCGTAAATTATAATGAAACTATGGATTTGGGATGGAGCGAGTATCTATTTAAGTTCTATATTTTATAATCAATAATATAAGGGGAAAGATAGTCCGAAAAAAAGTTATAATAGAGCTAAAATAACTGAATAAATGCTTTATTATGCATAAAAAAAAACTGAACAAATGCTTCGGCGAAGGAGAAGAAACTAAAGCATCGAAGAGGGGGGAGAAACACATGTAAAGATGGTCGTTGGTGCCGTTGGAGCCCTTACTTTGAGAGCAAATTCTTCGGAGCCGCAAATAATATTTGATCATTGATAATAGTTCCAAACTTTATTTTAAATTTTAGGGAAAACTGTTAAATAGATTCTCGAACTTTTATAAAAAGGTCAATTAAGTCCTTCTATAGGAGGTTTTGTCCAGCCGTCGCGATTTGGGGCAGTTCCCGGTGGAATTTTTTGATGAATTTTTTTTAGCATCTTATTCACCAAGTCTAGTTTACTCATACCAAATTTCAGCTAAAAATTCAATCGGGAACACATTCAAATTAATTCTTGAAGATAACTGCGCATTTTTGCGTTCTCGAATTAATTTGAATGCGCTCCCGATTAAATTTTTAGCTGAAATTTGGTATGAATAAACTAGACTTGATGAATAAGATGCTCAAAAAAATTTATCAAAACATTCCACCGGGAACCGCCTCAAATCGCGACGACCGAACAGAGTCTTCTATAGAAGGACTTAATTGACTTATTTATAAAAGTTTGAGGACCTATTTGACAGTTTTCTCTAAATTTTACCACTCCCATCCTAAAACGCATTAGATAAAATTACAATAACTTTTTTTTTATTTGAGAGTTGCGGGCATTAGAACTTAGAAGTGGCGGAGGAAGTATGTCATTAGTGTTGTTTTCATCTAAGTTTTTTATGGTACAAAGATTAGAGAAAGAAAAGGTGCGCGTAATTTGGCAATATACTATCGTATATGACATGAATCAAAGTTCTATTTTAAAATTTCAAATTTTTTTACTCTTACTTAAAAAAAATCTCATAGTAATTTGATTAAAGAGAATAACATTGTAATGTTCCAAAGCATACATCAAACACAAAAAACTGAGTTATGAGGAAATTGAGTAAAGTTATGATAGGGACATGATAATAGAATTATCAATATGTAAACTTTATCTTCTATATGTGTTTGAGTTATGAGTTATGACTTTGGCTTACCATACTTACTTTTCTAATCTAAATATGAGTGACCACGCTCCATTGAATAGACCTTAAGTGTGATAAATATTTTTTAACAACATTATGGAGTTCTCATTTTTCTAGAGTAGGACATGATTAGGCAATCTAAACATGGGAGTGCTATTATTAATAGTACCTACATCCCATTTTATGTATCTTACTTTGACTTGGCACGAGTATTAATGAAGTACGTTTATTTGTTGTGGTTCAGCTAACGAGCGCAGCAATCACAAGAGAAATTGAAGGTATTTGATGCGGTTCTCTTTTGCCTGCAGCGAAAAGATCAAAAGAAAATTTAAAATTCGAAATGTTTTAAGTATTTGTTACGGTTCTTATACGACCGCAGCAAAAAGTATCAAATTTTCTATGTATTTGTTGCGGTTGTAATAGAACCGCAGCAAATACTTATAAAATTTGTCTATTTGATGCGTTTTAACCAAGAACCGCAGCAAATAGGCAGCAAATAAGGAAAATTATAGTAGTGAGTGGTTGAAAAGTAAAAATTGTGCTTGAAATTAGAGTATAATAAAGTAAAATGGTGTAAGCCACAGATTTCTTTTCAAAAAAAGGAAAAGAGATACTTATTTTGTGACAACTAACCCAAAAAGGAAAATAAGACATGTAAAATGGGACGTAGGGAGTATTTGGTAGTGAACATATCAACACGAAAGGTAGTATCGGTACGTGTATGAAGGGATACAATTAATTGAACTAAGATATATAACTTCTACACTACTGATGTACGATAATGTGTAGTTATTTACTCCCTCCGTCCCCTTTTAAATGTCCGGGAAGAGGGTGACACGAGTTTTAAGAAAAGTGGGTTTGTGTGGTTGATAATAATTGATAAAGTAATATTAAAGTAAGAATGATTTTGAGTACACAAACTTTACCAAATAAGATATGAGACAATTAAATAGGGACATCTCAATATAGTAAAACAGGACATTTAAAAGGGGACAGAGGGAGTATGTCATTAATAATGTCTATACTATAGGCGCAAAGGTCACTCTCCCTTATAGATATAGGATGTTTTTACTTGGACTGTAATTCGTCCCAGACCAGACCAGACCAGATCAGACCAGACCAGACTTGGATATTTATAAAAATACAAAGAAACCAGACCAGACCAGACCAGATCAGACCAGACCAACAAATTACAGTCCAAAGTAAAAACATCCGTACTACACACTTAATCTATTATAGAATTCAGGATATTTACTTTCAACTATAGATATGATTTTTGCTTTTAACTATAGATATAATTTGATTATCTTCAACCTAGAAAAATAAATAATTTATGGCCTCCATTTCTGGAAAAATATTATTTTCTATTCTAGTATCATCATCTCTTACCTTAACAACTATATATGAAGCAAACTCTACGATTTTTTATTTGCTAGTCATTGTAAATTGTGATATGTCATGAGTTTCATATTCTTTAGAATAAGAATTGATCTAAATAGTGATGTAAAAATGTGAAGAGTTAACCATATAACTATAGTTGCATCGGCTCTCTCTAACCCCTTCAAGATGTAGACACCCTCAGTTTAAAGTCTCCCCAAAAAATAATAATCTTCATTCTTTAACAACGTACATATGTTCATTTCCCCAAAGAATACATCTCATCAAATTTGGTCAATGAAAGTGAATTTTGGGCAACTCCGATGGTTCTTGTCATTATATTGGGGATACGCCTTAAATAAAAGTAAACATGTTTTGAAATTTCAAAACATGACTGTTATATATGTTTTTCTTCCCGAAATATATAGAATTTATTATTACTATGACTGAAAAATACTATTCCATCATATCCGTCCAGAAAAGCTAGGTTCGCCGAATTGACTTTTCTTGGTCAATGACAATCAACTTTGAGTAATGATATTCTTTAACACAAAATTAATTTGAACTGGTGTAAAGCCCGGGGCATGCCCCGGTAGCACGTTAATGTGGTAATTAAGGGTTAAAAATAAAATTAATACTCCGTAATAAATATTGTGAATTATTTTTAAGTTTCAAAGTTGAATATTGTTGGTATTGGCCCGGCATTCTTATAAGCCCAATTGCAATTGAGGAGGTTTCCAGCCCAAATACCCTTGGTTTTTCCCGACCCATTTTTTTCCCCTATCGGCTCTCTACTCGCGATTCTTTCCTCCCTTTCTCGGCTTCAATGCGTATCTCTGGTTATGGTAAGCTTTCCTTGTATGGCGTCCGAGCTTGGCCTATTTATACCCTTCCTTGCCTTCGTTTTGGAGCTGGCCGAAACCCTACCTCCCAAATATCTCCTCAGTGGAACCCCTTTTGCAGTTGGCCGGAATTGTCTTGAAGGTTGTTGCCCATAACCTCCATCTTTAGGCTTTAGTGGTAGTTATCATCCTTTGTGGATGAAATTGGAGGCCTGAGCTGGAAGACAGTCCATATAACAGTGGTATCAGAGCCATTGGAGGTCTGCCGCCGCCACTCCGCCATCTTCCGCCGCCGTACGCCGTCGCCGGAGGTCCTGCAGTGTTGCCGCCGTCAGCCCGAGTGTTCCAGCGACGTCCAGAAGGTTCCAGTCCTTCTGCCAGGAGCCTCGTTGCTGTCCAGTTGCTGCCATCTGCCGGAGGTGCTGTTCAGAACGCTGCCGCCGCCCAGGAGTGCCGCTGCCGCCTTCCAGATTCTGCCACCGAGCTCTACAGCAGCCCACGCTGCCTACGGTAAGTCGGGTAACCCAACCTCGGGCCCCGCTCAGGTAAATTGGCGATAAACATCCTTGGTGTACCGGAGTGCCACCGGATTTATTTTCCCCCCGCTCCCCCGCTGCTGACCTGCGTGGTCTTGGATGCCGGCTGTGTCCGGCCCCTGGTACGTTTACTAATCCTTTGTGTGATTTTTATTCGTAGTTCATTTGTTTTAATTTCAAGTTGAATTGCTATTTACTTGTTAGTTGAATTGTGATTACTTGTTGAATCGTGAATTAATTTTCCGGTGAAGAATATTTTGTTT